AAGTATAATGTAAGGAAGTGTGAGGTCATCCATCTAGGTGGCAAAAAAGTAGAGCAGATTATTTTTTAGAAGGGGAGAGATGAGATAATGTTAGTGTTCAGAGGGACTTGTGGGTCCTTATACACCAGTCACAAAAAGTTAGTTTGCAGGTACAGCAAGTAGTTAGAAAAGCTAACGGTATGTTGGCATCTGTTACAAAAGGGTTAGAATATAAGAGTAGGGCAATCTTGCTGCAACTGTATAGGGCCCTGGTGAGACCGCACCTGGAGTATTGTGTGCAGTTTTGGTATCCTTATTTAAGAAAGGATGTACTCGCCTTGGAGGGGGTACAATGTAGATTCACTAAGTTGGTACTTGGGATGAGGGGGATGAGTTATGAGGATAAGTTGAGCAATTTAGGCCTCTCTAGAATATAGAAGAATGAGAGGTGATCTTATTGAAACCTATAAGATTATGAAGGGGCACGACACAATAGGTAGTAGGAGACTTTTTCCCCTGGTTGGAGATACTATAACCAGGGGTCACAATCTTAAAATTAGGGGTAAGCCCTTTTGAGGAAAAACTTCTTCACTCAGAGGGAGTGAATTTATGGAATTCTCTACCCCAAAGGGCTGTAGATGCTCAGTCCTTGAACATATTCAAAACTGAGATTTATAGATTTCTTGTGGGGTAAAGGGATTAAGAGATATGGAGATAAGGTGGAGTTAGATGGCCTACTCCTGCTCATAATTCTTATGTTCTTATCATACACATTCACACACAGACAATCATACACACTCACACACAGAGAGACACAGACAGTCATACACATTCACACACAGACAATCATACACATTCACACACAGACAATCATACACATTCACACACAGAGAGACACAGACAATCATACATACTCACACACAGATAATCATACACACTCACTCACAGACAATCATACACACTCACACAGAGAGAGACACAGACAATCATACATACTCACACACAGATAATCATACACACTCACACACAATCATACACACTCACACACAGATAATCATACTCACACACAGAGAGACACAGACAATCATACACACTCACACAGACACACAGACAATCATACACACAGACACACAGACAATCATACACACTCACACAGACAATCATACACACAGACAATCATACACACTCACACACAGACAATCATACACACAGACAATCATACACACTCACACACAGACAATCATACACACTCACACACAGACACACAGACAATCATACACACAGACACACAGACAATCATACACACTCACACAGACAATCATACACACAGACAATCATACACACAGACACACAGACAATCATACACACAGACAATCATACACACAGACACACAGACAATCATACACACTCACACACAGACAATCATACACACAGACAATCATACACACAGACACACAGACAATCATACACACTCACACACAGACAATCATACACACAGACAATCATACACACTCACACACAGACAATCATACACACAGACAATCATAGACACTCACACAGACAATCATACACACAGACAATCATACACACTCACACACAGACAATCATACACACAGACAATCATACACACTCACACAGACAATCATACACACAGACAATCATACACACAGACACACAGACAATCATACACACAGACAATCATACACACTCACAGACAGACAATCATACACACTCACACACAGACAATCATACACACAGACAATCATACACACTCACACATAGGCAATCATACACACAGACAATCATACACACTCATACACAGACAATCATACACACTCACACACAGACACACAGACAATCATACACACTCACACACAGACAATCATACACACAGACAATCATACACACTCACACACAGACACACAGACAATCATACACACAGACAATCATACACACTCACACACAGACAATCATACACACTCACACACAGACACACAGACAATCATACACACAGACAATCATACACACTCATACACAGACAATCATACACACTCACACACAGACAATCATACACACAGACAATCATACACACTCACACACAGACAATCATACACACTCATACACAGACAATCATACACACAGACAATCATACACACTCACACACAGACAATCATACACACTCATACACAGACAATCATACACACAGACAATCATACACACTCACACACAGACAATCATACACACAGACAATCATACACACTCACACAGACAATCATACACACAGACAATCATACACACTCACACAGACAATCATACACACAGACAATCATACACACTCACACAGACAATCATACACACAGACAATCATACACACTCACACAGACAATCATACACACAGACAATCATACACACTCACACACAGACAATCATACACACAGACAATCATACACACTCACACACAGACAATCATACACACAGACAATCATACACACTCACACACAGACAATCATACACACAGACAATCATACACACTCATACACAGACAATCATACACAGACACACAGACACACACACCATCATACACACTCCATTCCACTCTAATATTCCATTTTCTTTCTGACAATCAACGCGAATCATGTTTTCAGTTATTAAGGTCAGGCTAACGAGTCGGTAGTTTCTGGGTGTCATTCTGTCACCCTTCTTGAATATGGTAACCATATTTGTTTATGTCTCAGCTGTTGGAATCTTACCATTGGTGAGTGACTTGAACCGACATGAGATAACATCTGGGCTCAGCATTCTATCTTCACAGATCTTTTTGCAAATCACCACAAATTACAACTCCATTGTCACAAAAATGATTGAACACAGGCAGGTCTGGCATAATTAGCTTTAAAAACATAAGAACATAAGAATTAGGAGCAGGAGTAGGCCATTCGGCCCCTCGAGCCTGCCCCGCCATTCAATAAGATCATGGCTGATCTTCTGACCTAACTCTAATTACCTGCCCTATCCCCATATCCCCTAATGCCTCTATTTTTAAAAAATCTATCAGTCTCAGCTTTGAATATGTTCAAGGACTGAGCATCTACAGCCTTCTGGGGTAGTGAATTTCATAAATTTCATAAATTCATAAATTCACTATCCTCTGAGTGAAGAGCTTTGAGACAATGTCTGAAATAACAACGTTCTTGAAGCACTGAGAAATTCACTATTTCACTGTTTCACAACATACTCACACACAATCATACACACTCACACACAGACAATCATACTTCACTTCATTCAATATTACACATCATTGTATTAGTACATTGTGCTAGCAGGCAACCATAGATAGTAAGAAAAGCTATGAATAAGTTTGAAACTCATTACAAAGCTTGTATTTGCATTAAAATAAAGTACTATGGTTGTAAAGTAAAGGCAAACAATTAACCTTTACTAAGAACTTTCATTTATAGAAAAGAATGTACGATAAGTGCAAAGGTGAGAGTAACCATCCTTGACCCTCTTCTTTTCCTTATCTATATGCTCCCTCTGGATGATGTGATCCACAGACATGGGGTAAACTTCCACATGTATGCGGATGACACACAAATCTACTTTGCCTCCTCCAGTACCAACTCCAGGTCTGCCGATGTTCTATCAGCTTCTCTGGCAGACATCAAGGCCTGGATGAGTGTAAACTTCCTGTAGCTGAATATAGACAAGACGGAAGCCATACTCATTGGCTCCTTCAACATCTTCATTCCTCCGGATCTGAACTCCTCAACCTCCCTGGGCTCGCCCTCAGACACATTGAACCAGCGCGGAACCTAGGCATACGGTTCGACCCCCAACTGTCCTTCCTCCCCCACATCCCGTCCCTGACCAGGACCACTTTCTTCCATCTCCGTCGCTTCCAACCGTACCTTAGCCCAAATGCAGCCGAAAGCCTTGCGCTTGCGTTTGTCACCTCCCGCTTGGATTACTTCACGCTGGTCTCCCCAGCTCCACCATTCACAAGATCCAGGTCATTCAGAACTCTGCCGCCCACATACTGACCGGACCAAACGCCACACCCACATCTCACCAGTTCTGGCCAGGCTCCACTGGCTCCCAATCACCGAACGGATCGACCTCAAGATCCTCACTCTCGTGTTCAAATCCACTTACTCCATGGCCCCTCCCTACCTCTCCGACCTCCTCACTCCCCAGTCCACCACCTGGCGCCTCCGTTTAACTGGCACTGGCCTCCTGCTCATCCCTTGCATCCTCCGCCCCACCATTGGAGTTTGTGCTTTCAGCCACTACGACAACAACTCTCAACACTCTCCCTCCATCCCTCCACCTTGCCCCCTCTCTCCCCTCTTTCAAGTTCTGCCTGAAAACTTTCCTGTTCGACCATTCTTACAGTCACCTCCCCCCTCCCCCCAGCTCGGAGTCATGCTCCACCACTGTTAAGTGCTCTGAGACCTACCTGCCCGTACCCTCCGTTCCTCTGGCTCCGGTCTGCTCCACGTCCCCCGCCCCAACCGCCCTACCATTGGTGGTTGGGCCTTCAGCCTCTCAGCCCCCAGGCTCTGGAACTCCATCCCCCAGTGCCTTCGCCTTGCTTCCTCCCTTTCCTCCTTCAAGGCCGGTCTCAAAACCTTTCTCTTTGACCGTGCCTTCAGCTCCCCTCTCGACTCTCTTCCCCCTCCTCGCTCCCTCCCTTCCCTCCCCTCACCCTGACCATTTCCCCCTCCTCGCTCCCTCCCTTCCCTCCCCTCACCCTGACCATTTCCCCCCTGCTCGGGTTATGACCCAACTGTGCAGCGCCTTGGGACGTCCTCCTGACGTGAAAGGCGCTTTATAAATGGAATCTTGTTGTTGTTGTTGTTGTTGTTGAGACACTGCCCTACGTGGAGGGTGCTATATAAGTGCAAGTTGTTATTGTTGTAACCAATCGCACCCACCACATTACATCAGGCTTAAACATTTAGGATGCCATGAATGAATCCTATTTTACTAAAAACACCCAAATAATCATGAGTTTGCCTTCAATTTTAATAAAATTTAATTAACTACGAAAACAACAGCTTACATCAAATTTGTTAACTTAACATGCACATTAAAGATTTTTTTTAAAAGACATAAACAGATATTTAACAATTATTAAACAACACAATTTCAGAGAGGTGTAGACTGCAGTTGCTTCTGCATCAAGAACTGATTTCAGCGTAGATGTCAAACCTTTTTTGTAGTCGCCTGAGTTCCTGAAAAGAGATTTGTGTTTTAGAAAATCGTGGAATAAATATATTTTTTATCCAGAGTCAGAAAACAAATTTTAAATGATTTAAAATACATGCAGTGCCTGGATTAGGCCAATGGATTTAAAACGGCAGCCCAATGGGTTCCTTTACTAATATGTCATTCGCCTCCACCCACCCATGCTCAGTGGCACTCCACCATTGTAAAGCCTCCAAGACATTTTTCTAGGCGAATAGAGCCATATGCATGCAAGTTGTTGTCATTGATCGTGGATGGAATGGTAGAATATGCATCTCCACACTTCTAGGCCTCTATCTCTCTTACAAAATAGACAGTCAATTCAATTTATAGTAAATCCTGTGAAGCGCTTTGGGACAGCCTCATTTACAGGAACATATCAGCATGAAGTTATCTTTTTGATTAAAAAAAATACCTTTTAACGAAAACCAGATGATCTTCCATTTCGTGGCTAAAAATAACAGTGACAATGTAATACAATAGTGAATTATCTGAATCCAGTTTCAAAATGGTACATATAATATCCATAAGTTTTCTGAGACGTTTGCACCAGGAACGTCCCAGATTAAGTTCTTTGGTTTAGCTACACACAAGCATTTCCAATTTGGTATCTTTACGTGGTAAATTTTATAGGAATGAATTGAACTTTCAATAATCAAAGATTTTAACCAAGTTTCTCCTACAGAAACCAGAAAAGTCCCAGATTGAACTCCTGATCGGTGCGTAGAAAACCAGTCTCAGCCACTTTATGGCAAATAGTCAATGGGGTCAAAATTGGGTTAGTCTTGAACAGATTCCGTTCCTTAATTATCACCAGGGATTTAACTAAGGAATGTTTTATCAACTGTCCTTCGTGATAGCTTTGAGACTGAACCCAACTTTTAGAGATTTTTTTTCTCTCAGATTTCTCACAGTCAATTTTTTCACAATATCATTAGTGACTCCTGTAGCTCAGTGGTGAGAGCACTCGCATGCAACAGACCTGGGTTCGAATCCCGGCAGGGTGAAATGTTGGGCAAGTTTCATTACTAACACATCTCTGTTTATCTAGCAGTAAGTAGGAACCTGGTTGTTAGTTAATGGGCGGATCGCTTTTCCAGGGATAATAATCCCTCAAAAGAATAATAATTTGGTCACTCAATCCACGACTGTTTGTGGGACACTGCTGTGCACAATTGGCTGCCACGTTTCGCCCACAAATATACAGTCAATTCACTTTACAGTATATTCTGAAACATCTAGAAGACGTGATAAAGCGCTATATGAAATGTACGGATTATTATTGTTGTCAATAACCATTCAAATTTTAAAAAAATCATTCAATTCATTGCTGTGCACAAATTGGCTGTCACAATCACCTACAAATACACAGTCTTTACACTCTAAAGGGACTGTTGTAAAGTGCTTTGAGATCTTTTGGCAATTTCATAAGACAATATGTGAAATGCCGGGATTATTATGGTTATTATTATTATTATGTGAAACATACCCTAAACAGAAAGTAGCCTCGACTTTGAATTCCACTTGGTCCTTGAAGTTCTTCCTAAAGAAATAACATTTTTAAAAAAAAATATTTTAACTGACAACATCAACAAAACTGTATCTCAGTTAGCTCTGTTCCTTCCAGAATTCTGGAATGAATGATCGATTTAATTTTTCTGAAATATGTATGATAATTTGAATAAACCAACTGAATCTAATTCTCCTTTGAGCAAACATTTCCTGGTTTTATCCTCTTGTGGGTTATTAAGCAACTGAGTTATGGACGTTCTTCTAAATATGCAGCAAATATTTTTTGCTGGTGTGTTCCACCAATTTAGCATTTCCCCATTGCTGTGCCAGAGAAGGCCAAACTTATTATGCCCGTGAATAGTGATCAAGAAACGTTGCAAAATCTGCTTGGACAACAAGGACATTTCTGAGAATAGTTTGTAGCTGTATTGCAGAGCAGATCAACACAAAAAGCAGAGCAATGCAAAAGTGAGACCAACCTATATTTGACTTTATTATCACTGCTGCTTAAATAACTGGAGATTGTTTGGTACTTCTGTCAACCTTCCCTAATTACCTCAGTCCTATCACCACACTTATTACCAAAGAGAGTATTGTTTTGTTTTAGCTGCTGGTTTCCATCAGGTGAAATAAATCACTCAAAGATTGGGAAGAAACTGACATTCGTTTAGACTGTACCTGTAAACTGAGAATAGAAAGAACCAGCCTCAATTCCCCAATACAGTAGAAGCGGTTACACCAAATGTTTTGGACTATTAAGTTATGAAGTCCATGTATTCGAAAGAAAATAATACTGAGCTCTGAAAGGCAAGAGTTGCGATCTGGATTCTGTGGTCGATTTAAAAGTTATTGTATAAACTGCTGACACATTTTAAGCGTCAGCCTGAAAATTAGACATTTTTCTTATGGACAAAATGATTGGGTAAAATTATTTTCTGAAATAGTTTACTTAAGGTCGAAGAACTCAAATGACTGTATGTTTAAATAACTTTTAGAGAAAGCTTCTAAGTGAATTCAACCACTTGGATATTTTGACCCATGGGTCAAATATAGTGGAAATGTAAGAAGACTGATGGTCACAACATGATGGTGGCAGGATGATTCAAGAGTTACGTACGTCACCTCTGCTGTTCTTCATTCTTCTCTCATGAAGTTCAGGGACAAGCTGCAGCAAAGGATGCAGGATAGGGGACTGAGAGGACATGAACAAGGACACATGAGGAACAATGATCTACTGCTCATATGATGCAACCGTATATTCTCAAAGAAAGCTGTGCAGACACAACGTGGGACAAAACAGGGCAAAGCTGGAATGTGTCTTAATATTAGACACTGGAATCTACAGTTTGATGTAAAACCTGAAAATAACTTTCTTAAATGTTGAACCTAATAAATATTATAGATTTTGTATAGTAATAATTTTGATAAAGTTGATAATGCAATAATATTTTTCAACATCTGGTTTGATGATTTTCCTAAATACTGATAAAGTCCATACTTTAGTGTAGAGCATCAGTTTAATTCCAGTCCTCCTAAAAAAATACTCTTAGCTGATCTACTTGGCACAGTGCATTAGTTTATGAGATCTATGATATGGTATATTCATTACTTATTATGCTGAAAGATTCCAGTGATGGACTTCTCAACGCCTTTTTTTAACGGTAATGCCAAGATGTTGGGCCAATTGAGAGGACACCAGGAATTTATAAAGAAAGTGGTCATTGAGAATAGTGTGGAATGGTGGCGGTGGGGGTGGGGAATGGATTGTTCATCACCAGCATTTTTGATGTGATAAATATTGAATCTACTATAATACTAAATTGATCCCAAAAAATTAATCTCCTGAGTCTTATAAAAAATGACTTGTACCCTTAATTTTCTCATAAAGTGAGTGTCTTTCAGATTGAGTTCAGTTGTGTTGCTAGATAAGCTAAGAACAGACACTCAGTTTGTGAATACGTCGAATTAGACCCAAATGTGTTCATAAATGTTATTTTGTGATTCTCACTTAGCTTTTTATTATGGGTAGTGCATAAAATCACAATGAGGGTTTACATTAATCTGTTGTAAATTAAAACAACTGGTAAGACTTCACGACTTGAGCTATTAGAAAATCTCAGTAGCATCGTGGTTCATTAAGATGGTTATCCCTGTTCACTGTAGTTTAACAGAAGGGAGTTTCTCCCAGTGTCCTGGCTATCAATCCCCAAATAAAATTGGTCTTTTACTCCAGGGCTATTATACATTGCTGTTTGCAAATTTGCTGCTTTATTCACTCACAAAACACATAACCATAACCAAGGAATACACTTCCACTATTTATTTCAGTGATTAACTTGAAATTACAGTCATGGTTCCAATATTGTGAATATCACATAGTCTCTATTCTCTACATTGATAATTTTGCTGAATGCCACTTTATATGGAAACAGAAATCTACAGTGCAGAAAAAGGATGCTCGGGACATCAAGCGCAACAGCACACGTTGCATGGAGATCAATTCAATCCCACTGCCCTGCCTTATTCTGTACGCCTTCAAGACCCTATTTCCTTCCCTTTTGAAATGGACTCCATCTCTATCACCCTTCTCAGCAGGGCATTCCACATACCACTTTGTAAGGATTTAAAAGTATTTTTTAAAAAAGCTACAAAAGAATAATCACTCGCACGTGGCTACAGGTACAGATGGAACATGTTACCACCATGCAATTTTGACATGAACTATGTCAACGTTGCAAACACAGAGAAAAAATAACAGAAAGATTATGGATACTCCTATCACATTCTTAACAAAATAAGTCTTTGTTGACTCAGTATCCTTTGTCATAAGTTATGCCTTGGTCAGCACCCGGTGTATGTTGGGTTTGCATACTGACGTTACTGAATCCAATATTGTTCAAGGTCACTAAATGACTTGAATTCTTTAAATGCACCTGAACTCTCAATTTGTTAACTCTTGAGTACCACCTCAAGGGATCAAATATCTTCAAGGGCTAAAATATCTAGGGTTGCAAATCTTTCCTCATAGCTCCTACCTGCCAGCATGTATGATGGGGGGAATTATTGTCCATTTCTTTGATACTGTGGTTTTCCACTGTGGTGAAGTCAAATTATGCTTCCATGAATTTGCAAGCAACAAATCAATTTATTTTCCTCCAAGATTATATTTGATTTCAGAGCTCCATTGGAAGGTTTGATAGGTCTGATAAAATTCTGAGGATGATCTAGAAGCCCTTGGACATCTTTTGGTCTCCCTGAAATATCTTTTCTACTCCTTCCGGGAGAGCAAAGCTGAACTCAATACGCCAGATGTGGTCTCACTAAGAGCAAACATAACTTGATACTCATCTTTTGTACATTAACCCCTTAGCCATACCTCCCAATATTTGCTGTTTATTTCTGAAAAAATATTTTTTAAGGAATTCATTTTTCAGACATTAAAATGTTTCTATTCAGAGTTTGAGATTTTACATCCTAGCCTTTTGCTTGAAACCAGTTATGCTATTATAATGTCATCAGTTATAATAATGTAATGACATTAATATTATAGTAAAAACATCAGTTATTATAATGGAGCATTACAATTATTAGAAAATCACAGCTGTAATGTAATAACACTAATATTATTGCAATAGTTATTATAATCTAATGATATTATAATTCTCAGTTATTATAATGGAATATTAATATCATTAGAACATCAGTTATTATAATAATTTATATTATTACAATAGTGTCAGTTATTACAATTTAATAATATTATTATTTCAGCATAGTAGTTATAATGTAATCAAATTATTATTATAACATTACACTTTATCACAACATCTTGGCAACGAGATAAGATGCTACATCAAATGCAATGATTATTATTTATTATTATAACATCACTGTTATTATAATACCATAGTAGAACAGGACCAAGAGGATGAATGACCTCCTATTCCTACAATGTTAGACAAAAGCCACCAATTCGATTGGCAGCTTTTCTAGGAGTAATAATCTCTTAAAAATAAATGAATAATAAAAAAAATTGGTCATTCAATCCACGATTGTTTGTTGGACACTGCTGTGCGCAATTGGCTGTGTGTTTCGTCCACAAAGTATACAGTCAATCCACTTTACAGTTTATTCTGTAATGCGCTTTGAGACACCTCAAAGGTGTGATAATACACTGTACGAAATGCAAGGATTATTATTGTCATTATTGCTGGACATTAATATCCATTGTATTTACACCTGTTTAACAATTTTACATATTTGCTGAAATAATTTGTCTAAAATTTAAAATAAGAAAAATCACCTTCTTCAGATTAAAAAAAAGGCAAGTACTGAGAATGCTGCCTTTTGGTGAGCAAATTTAATTTGGAATAATTCGACACTGCAAAAATTATCTTCTTGTCAAAGTGTAGCTGTTTGAGCTAAAGCAGAAAGACAAGATTTTTAATGCCACCTTTTAAAATATAACATCCATGTGACTTACCATGAAATCAGAGTTGCCAGAGTCATGGGTCTTAGAATAATGAAATAAGAACTGTAAAAGAAAAAGTGAAAAGATAATTTTACTACAGTATATATCAATGACTTGCCATGTAGTCTCATTGTATCTCATAATCTATCTGAATGAGAGTTCTGCTTACCCTTTTGGTCTGGTCCTTTTCTTTTGAATCCTGTAAAAGATCAAACAATAAGAGATAGTAGGTCTTAATTTCTTCATATTTAAGCAACCATTTAATGAGTTGCTTATGTTGTAAATCCTTGTTGGAGATAAAATGAGCTGCCAAACCATCCCATCTCAAAATACAGCATACCAAATCATTAGATTAAAGGATTTGAGGGTTTTATATTAAACACCATTATTTCTCAGAATATATTTGGTGCATGGTAAGGGAGGAGATGTAACCTAATTAAAGTACATTCATATTTCAAGAACAGAATTACATTTCCTTCCTGAACGGAGGTTTCATATACCTGTTGAAGTGGATGCTAAAGGTCACAGAGCAGGGCACTATTCAAAAGAGAAGGAAGTTTATTTTGATGTCCTGGACAATTCTCCAAATGATCTAGTCATTTCCTTTGTGATTGTTTGTGCGACACTGCAGTGCACAAATTGAGTTATCTGGAACTAGGATGAGATGCCTATGTTGTTCGATGTAAATGGGAAAAAGGGGGAACGTGTGATGTTGTGAAACAAAACAATTTTAATTTCATTTCTCTATCTAGTCTATCAATACCAAGATATATCAACTACTATTTTCCCTTCTAAACCTCCCGTCTATACATCCTAGAAAATAAAAACCTAAATGGGATGGAGGAGCAAATGGATTTCGGGGTACACATACACAATTCATACACAATACTAAAAATAGCAATGCAGGTTAATAAGGCCATAAAAAAGGCAAACCAGGCATTGGGATTCATTTCTAGAGGGATAGAAATGAAAAGCAGGGAAGTTATGGTAAACTTCTGTAGAACCTTGGTTAGACCACACTTGGAATACTGTGTGCAGTTCTGGTCCCCACATTATAGAAGGGATGTAGAGGCACTGGAGAGATACAAATGAGATTCATGAGGATGATCCCAGAACTGAGAGGTTATACCTATCAGGAAAGGCTGAACATGCTTGGACTCTTTCCTCCTGAAAAGAGGAGGGTAAGGGGTGACCTGATAGAGGTCTTTACAATTATGAAAGGTTTGATAGGGTAGACATAGGGAAGATGTTTCCACTGGTGGGGAAGATCAAAACCAGGGACCATCAATATAAAATAGTCAAAAATAGATAGTTAGAAGAAATTTATTTACACAGAGAGTAGTGGGAATGTAGAACATGCCTACCACAAGGAGTTGTTGAGGCAAATAGCATAGATGTATTTAAGAGTCCTGTAGCTCAGTGGTTAGAGCACTCGCTTTGCAAGCGAGAGACCTGAGTTCAATTCCAGGCAGGGCGAAACCTTGGGCAAGTTTCCTTACTCCACACGCCTAATAATAATCCCTCCGAAAACCCCAAACAATAATAAATTGGTCATTTTCAATCTACGACTGTTTGTGGGACATTGCTGTGCGCAATTGGCTGCCGCGTTCGCCCACAAATATACAGTCAATTCACTTTACAGTGTGTTCTGTGAAGCGCTTTGGGACGTCCTCCCGACGTGAAAAGCGCTATATCAAATGCAAGGATTATTATTATTATTATTATTAAGGGAAAGCTAGATAGGTACATGAGGGAGAAAAGAATAGAAGGTTATACTTGAAGACTTAGTTGAGGAAGGGCAGGAGGAGGCTCACGTGGAACATAAACACTGGCATAGACCAGTTGGGCCGAATGGCCTGTTTCTGTGCTGTATATTCTAATATATTCTAATGTATTGATTCTGCATCAGCTTTCAGGACAGTGATTCTCATAATTCATACAATTTGTTTTGTGTAGAAATATTTTCTCAAATCACGTCTAACTGGTTTAGCTCAAAATACACAGTCACACCATTTTACACTGTATCCTGTGAATTATACAATTAATCAAGCTATGTGATCCAAATGAAAGAACAGGCTCTTTTGCCTCCAGCAGAATCCTTTGCAGTATGATTACAACTTATATGGAGACTGCGAATATAAAGAGAACGATAATTTGTAAATTAATGCTAGGAGTTATTTTAAAATTGAAGTGCTCTCTGAGTTTGATTGGAGTGTGAAGGTAAGCCATGCTGGTTTGCACATATGCATCATCGGGGATTTTTTATCTGTTGCAAAGGTCCACAGACATTGTACAGATAGAGAAAGAGATGTAGAAAATTAGAGACATTGTCAGAAAAAGACACAGGAATACAGAGACAAATAAAACACATACACACACACACAGAATATATCTATTTCATAAGAATATCAGAAAACATGGAACAGCAAAATAGTCATGTAGCTCATCATTCCTGTTTGTTTCGCAAGCCATGTCCAATTCAACTTTTAAGGATGACACTCAACACAATTCGTCTGCTAAGAAAAGATTCTCCAAATTTCTTCTTTGGCTTCTCAAAAGTAAATCCAGCAAAATAGAAGAATACTTTTTAAACTTATACCCAATGTAATTCATTGTCTGGATGCCTTGGGCGGGAGCCATTCCTGTGTTATAGAGTATTTGGTCACATCTATATGTACGTTACCTGGTAAACCTGAATCCTATTTCCTACGACATCTAGCTATTCATCCAGCTTTTGATGGTGTGAATCAACACGTTTGCTGATATATTCTTTGAAGGGGGGTTAGTGCACGAAAGAAGCTACAGATTTTTATTTTCTCAGTATGTCATACAGTTGATTTCGCTGAACACTTGTTTTCAGTGCAGAACTTTCCATTACAACAGTAGAAATGAGAAAGATAGACAAGTCCATTAAGTTACTTGTGGATCTACATTCTTGAATTTTGTTAGTGTTGATGAAACTGACAATGATAGAAGTATAAAAACCTTGTACCTGAATTCTCTGCAGAACTGTCGTAGCCATGTAACAGAGTTCTTCGAATACAGTTGATACCTAGTAAGGCAGAATATAAACATTTAAGAAACTGTTTATGCAATTTGGTGATACGCTGGGTCAATAGAAAAGTGAGGCTGCAATGTTTCCACAGAATCTGCAAGAAACACTCTCCACTATAAACAACACTCTCTACTATAAGCAAAATCCTCTGCTATAAACAATACCTTCCGCTAAAAACCTGTAAACAATGTAGTTTCTGGCCCCGGGTCTCACACTGTTTACCTGATGCTTCGATGGGTGGAGCGGCGTGCTGCTGCGCAAGTGGGAAATGGACTTCACTCCACTCTGAGACCCTGCTGTTGAGATTGTCTCCTCTGTATGTGTGCATTTGTGAGTGTGTCAGTGTGAGTGTCTGTGTGTCTGTCTCTCCTCTGTATGTGTGTGGATGTGTCTGTGTGTGTCTCTCCTCTATGTGAGTGTCTCTGTATGAATGTGATTGTGTGTAAGACCATAAGACATAGGAGTAGGCCATTCGGCCCCTCGAGCCTGCCCCACCCTTTAATAAAATCATGGCTGATCTTCTAACCTAATTCCATTTACCCCCCGTATCCCCATATCCCTTAATCACTTTATCCTTTAGAAATCTATCAACCTCAGTCTTGAATATGTTCAAGGACTGAGCATCCACAGCCTTCTGGGGTAGAGAATTCCACAAATTCATTACCCTCTGAGTGAAGAAATGTTTCCTCAACTCAGTTCAAAAAGGCTGACCCTTAATCTTGAGACGATGACCCCTAGTTTTAGATTCTCCAACCAGGGGAAACAGTCTCACAGCATCTACCCTGTCAAGACCCTTAAGAATCTTATAGGTTTCTAATAAGATCACCTCTAATTCTTCTATCTTCTGGAGAATATAGGCAGGTTTACTCCAACCTATCCTCATAGGTCAACCCCCTCATCCCAGGAACCAACCTAGTGAATCGGTGCTACACCCCCTCTAAGGCAATTATGTCCTCTCTTAAATAAGGAGACCAAAACTGCACACAATATTCTAGGTGAGGTCTCACCAAGGCCTTATACAACTACACCAAAACTTCCCTACTCTTGTACTCTAACCCGTTTGCAATGAACGACAACATGGCATCAGTCTTCCTAGTTGCTTACTGTACCTGCATACTAACGTTTTGTGACTGGTGTACAAGGACACCCACATCCCTCTAAACACTAACACTACCTAGTTTCTCCCCCTCTTGAAAATAATACACTTTTCCATTTTTACTACCTAGGTGAATAACTTCACACTTCCCCACATTATACTCCATCTGCCACCTTCTTGCCCACTCACCTAGCCTGTCTATTTCCCTTTGCATTCTTTGTGTGTCATCCTCACAGCTTACTCTCCCAACTATCTTCGTATCGTCCACAAATTTAGATATAAGTTCTATTTCCTCATCTAAATCATTGATATAGACTGTAAATAATTGCGGTCCAAGCACTGATTCTTGTGGCACTCCACTTGTCACATCCTGCCAATCTGAGAAGGACCCGTTTACCCCTACTCTCTGTTTTCTTCCTGTTAGCCACTCTCCAATCCATACTAATATATTATCCTTAACTCCATGGGCTCTAATCTTATGCAACAGCCGTTTATGTGACGCTTTGTCAAATGCCTTCTGGAAGAGTGTGTCTCTCTCCTCTGTCTGTATTGTGTCTCTCTCTTTCTGTGTGTGTGTGTCTCTCTCTGGGTCTCTGTGTCTGTGTGCAGTGACAGGCCCTGAGAGACAGGAGGTGGTGACCTCCTGGAGCCTCGCAATCAGAAACCTGACCAGCTTGGCGAACAAATCTGTCTTTTGGAGGATCTACAGGCCCTTTGGGCCTGCACTGGTGCTCCCCCCCTACCCCCCAAGAATGGGCCACACAGTTTTTGTTAAAGAAAGCGTTGATAATTTTATTTTTTGCAACAATATAATATGTGTTATTTCCTTATGTTTAGCTTTTCTCAATATAAGTGAAAAAAATTAGATTGACAGTAAAATATACATTAACAGCACCAATCAACTCCCCGAAATTTTCCACAAAATTTGCTAAATTTCTGCATTTTCCCACAAAGCCTGGTAAATTTCCCTACCTTCTGGGGAAAATATTTCTGCAATTTTCTGTTGGCCCTGGTAATAAGTCTACAAACTGCACATCTGTATTGGACCTTACCTGTGCCTGATTATTTGCAGTCAGGAAGGAAGAACACACATCATCTATCTATAAGAGAGAATTGAGATATTAGCATCCAAGATATCAAGAATGTTCTCAGAACTGCACGTTTGCAGACTGAATTGAATTTGAGTCAAGAAATAATTAACATCACTAAGTCAGGAATACCTGAGCAATGCAGTTCTCGATCTGATTTAACCTCCATTGACAGAAATTGCTGAAAACATCTTTTTTGTCTGACTCACAGAAGAAGATTACAGCAATTTCTAACAAATTGTAGAGGCAGACAGTTGCCTTGGCAAATCAAAACTGTGCACTACTAAGTCAGGACTTTATCAAATCTACTACAATGGGTCATACTCCTATTAGATAAGCAATTTCACCAAAAAGGCAACAGTGTCCAAGTGGTGGCCGAGTGTTTGGCCAAGCAATCTATGCTTGAAAACCAATCTAAAAAAAGGGTGGGTGTGGTCCAAAGATGTGACCAAAGAGAATGTCTTGAGATAGATTTTGAAGGAAGTGAGGGAAGGGGTGAAGTGAAGGGACTCTGGGCCGGAGATCAGAGAGTAGGGGCAGAAAGGCTGGAGATCCGACCGCGAATGGTGGGGCGGGCACGGCAGGTGACATGAAGCTTGGCTAGTGCCTGCCAAGCAGATGGAGCACATGGGGTTGGTAGGATTTTAGAATATCACAGAGGTAGGGTGCAGCAAGATCTTGGCGGGATTTAAAAGTGAGGACGAGGATTTTGAACTCAATCCTCTGGGGAATGGGGTGCCAAAGGAGCCAGAAGAGTATGGGGGCTCACAGAAACTGGTGCGGGAGAGGACACAAGCTGCAGAGTTCTGAATAGTCTGCAGCTTATGGAGGAGAGAATTGGGAAGTTCAGTGAGCAGAAAATTAGCAAGGTCGAGCTGGGGAGATCAGCAAGGAGTGCATTTGAGGTATCCAGGCAGGAGGTAACAAACGCATGCACAAGGATTTCAGCTGCATTGGGGTAAGGTACAGTCCAAGGCGGGCAATGTGGTGGTGGTGGAAGAAGGCGGCCCTGGTCAGGGACCGGATGTGGGAGGGGAAGGACAGCTGGGGGTTGAACTGGATGCCCAGATTGCACACTGGTTCAGTGAATCTGAGGGAGAGCCCAGGGAGGCTGAGGAGTTCAGATCTGCAGGAGTGAAGACATTGATGGGAGCCAAAGAGTATGGCTTATGTTTTGTCCACATTCAGCTGCAGGAAGTTGCACTCATCCAGGCCCTGATGTCTGCCAGACAGGCTGATAGAACATCGGTGGACCTAGAGTTGGTACTGGAGGAGGTAAAGTAGATTTGTGTGTCATCCGCATTCAATGACAATAAAAGATATTTTGCCTTTTGAATCAGATCCATTCTCAATCCAGACTGTTGCCAAACTTGGAAGGAAATTTGGCACAGGTAAATAATAATAATAATAATAATAATAATAATCCTTGCATTTGATATAGCGCTTTTCACGTCTTCTAGACGTCTCAAAGCACTTCACAGAATATACTGTAAATTGAACTGACTGTATATTTGTGGGCGAAACGCAGCAGCCAATTGCACACAGCAGTATCCCACAAACAGTCGTGGATTGGGTGACCAAATTATTATTGTTTTTTTTCTTGAGAGATTATTATCACAGATGCGTGATTTTGTTAAACATGCATGGTAGACTGCATCAGCCTGCCTGCAGTCTAAATCATAACAGTCTAGATCTGTCCAAGAAAGGCGTGACCGTAACAGTCACTTGCAAAATGTAGTTACTGCACAGCAATAAATAAAACAATATATCAATATACCGTCATTTCAAGATTTCTGTGGGTATGTAATCCCCCCCCATAAATACTACTTTGTGAGAATACTCGACAAGTCCTTGAATGATACTATTCTTAAATCAAGTGTTTTTTGCAGTAAAAGTAGAAGAAAAGGACAAACTGTTGGAAATTGGGCATTTAATGATGATTGGGGTCATAATGCTTCCCTGTTATCATTCTCTGTTCTCCATCTATACTGCCTGTCATTATTTGTCATTATAGCGAGTTCATTTTGTTTTCCACATTGTTTCTGGACATAAGATGACTGCAAGGTTGTTACAAATTTTTTTGCAATAACGGGACAGTTCAGGACATAAGTATTTAAGTCCGACATTTAGACTGATTAGACAGCAGTCATAGCGAATGATGAGTTTTAAATGAGCACATTTTACTAAACAATTGATGGATCAGAAAAATGAGAATCAAAGTAATATTCTGCTTTTTAATGCACATTAGTTGCATGGTCACTTAAACATTCGCTTGTTACGCATTTCACAGAATAGGCATCTAAGAAATAGTGGAAAATATATTATTTTGATTACTGTCCTTAAATGGAGTATAAACATAAGTAGAACATACAACAGTCAAGCAACATGGTGAGCTACGCCATCAGTCCGAACATCAATGCAAATAAGATTAGCATTTCAGAGAAATATTTAGATAACAGCATTAGCGACGTGGATATTACAAGGCATGTCAAATATGATTAATAAAGCATAACAAAACATACGTTTCATTTCTATTTCATGATAGCATATTTGTCTTTCATGCACATCACAAACCAAGCTGTCTTAATGTGGCATTCATGGAACTGAAGACAATATACAGTTGCTCTAATTACAATGATGCTTCTCTTCTTGAAATGTACGAAATAAGTAGTCCACAGACTTAATTCAAAAGTACAGTGTTATGTAACAAGATTATAATTATTGGACATGATGTGATCCAATAATTTGTGATGAAGATATTCTTTAATTTGATTCTCTGTAACCATGTAGTTTCATTTATTGAACTTCAATTTGATTGTCATTACCTCATTCCATAAACGTAACTCCTGATCTACTGGAAGCCCTTGGGATGATGCTGGAACACCTATAAAATAAATTACATTCTGGTCCTAAGTATAGGATCAGTTTTGAGATCTCACATCAGCTACCTAAAGTCACAATATCTTCACAGGTGGAGCAAAAGAAATAGAAATCTAGAATGTGATTTGAACTCATCTTTTTGACTACTATAAAAGGCAATTGAATACCGAAGTCAATGCTTTTGGTTATAATAATTCATTATTAATTAATTTCAGGGAATAAAAACGAAACATTGAAGCACTCCGGGATGCTACCCCGCATGAAGTTGTTGTTGTTGAAACACAGCAAAGTACACGTTTTAGTGCGGCTGAAAATTGTTCTAACAATGATTCATGACTTGTGACAACAACTCTGGAACCCGGTCATTAATATAGTCAAATAAATAATAGGAAGAATCTTTATATTTTATATTGGTCACCCTCATCATGGCTTGATGTAGGACATTTCTGTGCATAAATTGAGTCTCGATTCACCCACAAAATACACACAGATGCACACTTTACAGTATATTCTGTGATGCACCTCTAGACATCTTGACAACGGTATATGATGCTGTATCAAATGCAAGGATTAAAGGATCAAACAAAAGGATTATATATCTCCTTATCATGTCTCGAAACATCTCCAAACACATCACTGTATGAAGGGTCAAATCTGAGATTAATTTTCTCTTTCAGATGCTGATTGACCTTCTGTGGAGTCTCAACATTTCTGTTACTATTTTAGATTGCCAGCATTTGCAATTTTTATTTTTGCAACAGGTCCTTTTGGATTTTTATGAATAAATGATGTATTCATTTTGCACTTGCCCACGAAAAAGGTTGTTTTGTCTGATGTTTGAAATTACAGTTACGTTACCTGTGAAGGATTGGGACTGCAAGCCAATTTGAAACAGGGATAATTTGACATTTTCTAGCAGAAATTGGGCTTACTTTGTGATATTTCCGAATGGGATGTCTTAATAGGGAATCTGAATTTTGCAAAGGCGGATTTCTTCTGGTAACTAACATGTTACACCAACTCACAGAAACTCTACTCCATAACAATCCACCTCTGGAGCAGCGTTCCTTGGGGATGGGGAGAATTCTTTAGTTTATTTAAAAAATTCTTATTTTTCAAAAAAATACAGAATCAATGAGTAAATTTACAAATACCCATGTACCTATGTTCACCTAAAAATATACAGTAACTACCCTGAACATGCCATTTTAACAATGTAATAAGGCGCTACATCAAATGCAAGGATTATTATGTTAATAGTACAACTATTTACTGAACAATCTAATTGGCAGGAATTCTAACAAGATTTTGTATTAAGAAATACTGTTAAAAATACCTCCAATTAATTATCTTCCACAGTAATAATACTGCAATTGCCTGTCATTACTATTATTATCATTATCAATAAAAGTGACCTTAGTTTCAGGAAGTAGGGAAGATAAACAATATGAACTGAGACAAAAGTTCTCTTTGTATTTAATATCCACAATTATTTGGACTTGAATGTATCTTTATTCTAAGTTATGTTCAAAAATAATCTTAAGAAATTAAGTCAAAGTATTTAGATTCCCCCCTCGACTGTTCAATTCAAGGTAATAATAAATAAATAAATAAATAAATAATAATCCTTGCATTTGATATAGCGCTTTTCACGTCGGGAGGACATCCCAAAGCGCTTCACAGAACACACTGTAAAGTGAATTGACTGTATATTTGTGGGCGAACACAGCAGCCAATTTCGCACAGCAATGTCCCACAAACAGTTGTGGATTGAAAATGACCAATTTATTATTGTTTTTGGAGGGATTATTATTAGGCTCTGTGTGGAGGAAGGAAACTTGCCCAAGGTTTCGCCCTGACCTGCCTGGGATTGAACTCAGGTCTCTCGCTTGCAAAGCGAGTGCTCTAACCACTGAGCTACAGGACTCCACAATATTAGTTAGTGGAAGTGTTAGCTTGTTCGTACCTTCTTTCTCTCATCATATGGAATTTATATCTAGCCTTGCAGAACTGTGAAACTGCCAAACTCAACCAACTCTGCCATCATTCTTCATCCAGCAAAGAAGAATTGCCACTAGAATCTGACAATTGGTGGAAAATACAGTCTAATACTGAGAGACCCAATTAAGATCTGGTTTGATTTCCATTACACTCACAAAACTATTTCGCCCCATTTTTTATGGGAAAGCTACACACTTTGTCAGACCTTGATATGATAAGAGTACTTGCCGAGTTACCATTTAGTCAGTACATGCAGGTGCATACAATAAGGGTTTTACACAGTGCTGTGTTTTACAGTGTTATTCAAAACTTTAGTATTCTTTACTTCGGTTTTCATTTGACTTACACAATTTCCTTTTGCTAGAATGGATTAATATTTTGCTTAAGAATTGCTGAGCTATTTGGCAATAGTAATTTACAACTTTATCTCCAAGACACAGTCGAACATTTGCAAATACAATACTTTCTCACCCTGGGTGGAGGAAAATGCTCTTCCAATTCTAACACTTTGACACTGGATGATTAAAACAAATAGCATTGGTAAGAGCTGGAAGTCAAAAGGCACTTGTAGTAATGATACCATTCAACTATTGCCCCGTTTTATCTACACTGTTTCTTCACATTATTCCGCAGACATCCCTAAGCTTTGCACAGAACTTTAGAATTCGTGCATGTTCATTTACCCAGTGAATGGCAACCATTTACACCACACCACTGTACTGTTTCTAAAGGCAAACATAATTCACCTTTTCCTCTTCCAAAACTACACTTATAGTTAGAGTTGCATCCTTTTTGTTTGCATTTTAGAAGATTCCCTGTTTAATGTATTTAGTTGAGAAACTGGGAGGGGAGGACACAAGAGTTAAGCATTAATCACACAACCTATCAGGAGTAAAAACAAAGTGGGGAGGGAAATAGTCAAAGACAAGTTCAACAGTAAAAGCTGGGAAAGTATTGAAAGAAAAAATGCAAAGAAATCTGCAAAGCATTGAGAATCGAAGAGAGAGAGAGAGAGGGAGAGAGAGAGAGAGAGAGAGATAACAGGGACGAGGGGGGTGGGAGGAAGAAAACGTGATGGAATAAAAAAGGGGAAAAGAGCAGACAGCAATAACATGAAGGAAGACAACACCATCGAGCGGAGTGCTGGGAAAGAGAGACGGTGGGAATGAAAGCACTGGAGGTACCTTGCGAGAAGCAACCCCAGGAGAGGAGCAGGAGTGTCAGAGTCAGGATGCAAGGAGATGGCTTCATACTGGTGGCTGTGAGCGATGTCTCTCCCTCTCGGTGCAGACACAGACTGGAGCTCCGCATGATCCTGATCCTGATCCTGATCCTCAGCCTCAGCCTCAGCCTCAGCTCTGGGACCCACTCGCTCACATTAGACTTTTAAACCTCCCATCAGAGGCTGCACGTCAGCAAACCAGCAGCTCACTCGTCATGTCTCCCATCGCCGATGGAGGTGTCATTGCTCATTCCCAACTCTTCCCCTCACGTTCACCCACTCTCCTTCCCGATGGCACCGACAGTCTGGTTTGCAAACCGCAGCAAAAACAACAACAACAACAACAACAAAAACACACACACCACACCACACACACCACACCACACACACTAAAAGGGTTTGGTCTCAAATAAACCAGACAGGGCTGTGGTTTGCAATTCGATTCCAGACCGTGCTGATGAAATAAAAGTTCAGTGGTATAGAAAGTACATCAAAATAATAATAATAATAATAATAATCCTTGCATTTGATATAGCGCTTTTCACGTCGAGAGGACGTCCCAAAGCGCTTCACAGAACACACTGTAAAGTGAATTGACTGTATATTTGTGGGCGAACGCGACAGCCAATTGCGCACAGCGATGTCCCACAAACAGTCGTAGATTGAAAGTGGCCAATTTAATTATTGTTTTTGTTTTTTGGAGGGATTATTATTAGGCTCTGTGTGGAGTAAGGAAACTTGCCCAAGGTTTCGCCCTGACCTGCCTGGAATTGAACTCAGGTCTCTCACTTGCAAAGCGAGTGCTCTAACCACTGAGCTACAGGACTCCACGAATAGCAACTGTCAACCTGGGAAATGATCCTGCAATAAACCAGCCCCTGCAGTGAATTGTTCAGGTCAATGCTATGGTCTCGGTTGTGCAAAGGACTTGCAGTGTTTTGCCAAGTACTGGCTGTGCGTTTGGTATTTTGCTGCTGAATGAATATCAACCGCTTTTTGCAGGGAATTCAAAACGATTGGATTGAGGGGAATGGCTCCTTGTTTCAGTCAGACTGGTGAAGCCAACTTCATCCCCACAACACAGAGCACTGGATGGGGACAAACATAGGTGTCTCCTCCTCAAAGCCCTCATAGATTGCTTGTATGGGTCACTTCAGCAATGCCCAGGATACAAAAGGCATTGGAACTGCACTCTGAACCTGTGTGTGAAAGTCAAACGAATAACTGCAACTTCTCGAAATCTGAATTAACACAGGAAATATCCATTCCCTCCTTAAACTTTCCTGAATCCTGGCCCCCTATGGCTTGTGGCTATCAAATCTTGCATCCTGCTGCATATCGCCCACGAAACACACAGTCACTGCACTTTACAGTATCTTCTGTGAAGTGCTTTGAGGCTCTCTGCTAAGGCAAGATATCAAATGCAAGGATTATTATTATTATTGTTATTACCTAACCTCTTCATCAAAAGAATCCTACCCAACCACCACCCCCCCCCCCCCCCCCCCACCACAACTGTGCTCAGGCACCCCGTCCATTTCTGTGAAGCGCTTTGAGGTGTTTTCCTACATGAAAGCCCTTTTATAGATTTAAGTTGATGTTGGCACTGCTCTAACAAAAATCAGGTACTACATCTTTTTCTTAGCCTTATCTTTTTCTTTTTCAACCTTCCAGCCGGAGTACTAACTTCAACAGGAGAATACAGTACTGAGCTGTTACCTCCATATTCACACTCCAGTAAAATTAAAGCTATTCATTCAGTAGGTTTGAGTGAAACAATTTAGAATTCTGCTGTAACAACCGCAGAGTTCAGGAAAAAAAAGATGTTGGCTTTTCTCTGTATTATAAATCAGTTCCTTTATTTTTCTCATATTTCATGCTCTTATTTAATCCCAAACTGACCTCAATATGTCTGCTATGATATTATCCGGAACAATTCACAAATGATGTGCAACCCATTTATAAATGGCTCTATGGTAAAAAAAAACTCAAAATACACAATGTATGAATGCAGCACAACATCTGAACGGTACAGCTGCATCTTGGAATCCTGTTAGCACATTTTTCTTTAGAGAAATCATTTACAAGAATAGTTTCTGCAACATCTGTGGTGTGAATTTCAGAACCTGGTTGTTAGTCGATTGACGGATCACTTTTCCGGGTGTAATAATTCCTTCAAAATAAATGAAAATGATTTGGTCACTCAATCCACGACTGTTTGTGGGACACTGCTGTGCACAATTGGCTGCTGCATTTGGTCCAGAAAATATACAGTCAATTCACATTATTCTGTAAAGCGCTTTGAGGCTTCTCAAAAATGTGATAAGGCGCTATATCAAATGCAAGGATTATTATAATGAATATTGTCAGTTTGGACAACTTCAGTCAACTTTTGCACATAATAAGCAACTCTTTGTAAAAATATGTTTTTCTATAATGCAAGTTTAATTTGAACTTGGATTAGGCATAAGTGATTAATTGGGCTGAGGTAAAATATTTAAAAAATTTCCTGTTTTAATAACCAGAGGAATCTCAATTTAAGTTTAAAATGCCTTGGCAAATTATTCTGCAGTTATCAACCATACTGAGTAGGGATGGATTACCATTCCATGAGCAGGCAGAAATACAAAGGTTAAAGTAACATCTAAAAGGTTATATATGAGATGATACCATTTAAAAGCTACGTGAAAAGTCATGAATCACAGCAGAACTGTTTAAGAATACACACTGGACATATTGCCAATTAAGGTGAAAGGGTAGCTTTTTGTCAGCTTCACAGCATTCATGTTTTTGTTTCTTACACACCATTTATGTGAAACCTTGAGTTCAGGATGTCATGCTACTCAATTGAGTTTGTCAGAAGAGTTTGCTTTTGCTGCTGAAATACATACAGCTTACAAGGGAAGTTAAAGCATAACTATAAAATGAATAAAACATCCCTCTTAAACAAAATTAGATATGGGTTTTGGAACACAACAATTCAAACTTATAAACTGAAGTAACCGACATAGGTCATTTTCAATAACTCTCGATAATAATTACTAATTCAAGACTTCAGTATCATACAATATCTCATAAGATTTTTCTGAAAAAAGACGCACACCACTTTCACAAACCCTTATCATGCTAAAACACCTCAAATCCTTGACAGATAAACAGTTTGCTAGTGTATTGTTTTATAGGCAGATGCCATTTGTGCAGCAATGCCCCAAAACAGTCTTGAAGATAATAGAATAGATTTGTTAAAGGCAAGTCTGATCTGACAAATCTAATAGTCTTTTTGACAACATAACCAAGAATATAAATGAAGGTAATGCTTTGGATATGGTACATATCGATTTTCAAAGGTTTTTGATAAAGTACTGCATAAAACACTTTGTTTAAAAAAAAGGTAGGTGCAGTTAGTAACAGGGATAAAAAGTTGATTAAAGAATAGGAAACAGAGGGTGGGAATGAAGGGTTGTTATACACAATGGAGGGATATAAACAGTGGTGTCCCCCAAGACATAAACAGATTGATTGATTAGGCAGAGAAATGTCAAATGAATTTTAATGTGGACAAATGTGAGGTTATACATTTTGAGGAGGAAGACTAAGGAGACAAGCATATGTTGGTGGGTAAAATATTAAAACGAGTGCAATAGCAAAGGGACTTGGGGGTTAACGTACTTAAATCCTTAAACAGCAACAACAACAACAAGATTGCATTTATAGAGCGCCTTTCACGTCGGGAGGACGTCCCAAGGCGCTGGACAGTTGGGTTGTGACCCGAGCAGGGGGGAAATGGTCAGGGTGAGGGGAGGGAAGGGAGGGAGCGAGGAGGGGGTAGAGAGTCGAGAGGGGAGCTGAAGGCACAGTCAAAGAGAAAGGTCTTGAGACCGGCCTTGAAGGAGGAAAGGGAGGAGGCAAGGCGAAGGCACTGGGGGTTAGAGTTCCAGAGCCTAGGGGCCGATGGTAGGGTGGTTAGGGCGGGGGATGTGGAGCAGACCAGAGGCAGAGGAACGAAGGGTATGGCAGGTACGTGGGGGGATAGTAGGTCGGGATTCCATCTTGATACCAAATAGAAATAGCGTCGTGGAGGCTTAGCTTCCCTCCTTTGACAGCCCTTTCTCCTTAGAAACAGGAATAGGTCTTTCAGCCTGTCCATCTTCCATTCAATTCCATTAAGTCTATGCTCTTTAATTCTAATTCCCCATCTTTGTATATGTTGTAATATTCTCATTTACTGAGTACCTACAATGTTTAGCTTTCTTTTGAAAAGGCGAAACCTTGGGCAAGTTTCCTTACTCCACACATCTCTGTTTACCTAGCAGCAGGCAGCAGTAAATAGGAATTCATTGTTAGTCAATTGGTGGATCGCTTTTCGGGGGTAATAATTCCCCCCCTTCCCCTGAAACAAAATCGGTCATTCACTCCATGACTGTTTGTGGGACACTGCTGTGTGCAATTGGTTGCCACGTTTTGCTCACAAAATACACAGTCAATCCATTTTACCAGACATTCTGTGAAGCGCTTTGAGACTTCTCATTGACAAGATAAGGTGTTATATTAAATGCAAGGATCCTTATTATAGGTTCTTTCACAACAGGTATCATCCTGGTGAATTATCACTAGAATTTCTCTAAGGGCAGTACATTTTTCAGTTAGGGCAGTTGTCTATTGTCTTTAATAATAATAATCCTTGCATTTGATATAGTGCCTTATAATAATAATAATAATAATCCTTGCATTTGATATAGCGCTTTTCACGTCGGGAGGACGTCCCAAAGCGCTTCACAGAATATACTGTAAAGTGAATTGACTGTATATTTGTGGGTGAACGCGGCAGCCAATTGTGCACAGCAATGTCCCACAAACAGTCGTGGATTGAAAATGACCAATTTATTATTGTTTTTGGTTTTTGGAGGGATTATTATTAGGCGTGTGGACTAAGGAAACTTGCCCAAGGTTTCGCCCTGCCTGGAATTGAACTCAGGACTCTCACTTGCAAAGCGAGTGCTCTAACCACTGAGCTACAGGACTCCACAAATATCGACTCTTCTGGACGTCTCAAAGCGCTTTACAGAGTATACTGTAAAATTAATTGACTGTATATTTTGTGGGTGAAATACGGCAGCCAATTGCCCACAGACGTGTCCCACAAACAGTTATGGATTCAAGTGAGCAATTTTTTTAGTTTTTTTTGAAGGAATTATTACAATCTGCTTAACAAAAAGGTTTACT